CTTTTGTCCTTTCTCACTTTCACTCCAGTCTTTAACTCCCTTTCACTCACTGTAATTATTAGTGGCATTCCTGCCTTGCCTGGGGTGAAATGATTAACATAATTTAAATACAGCGTCAATCGCCATCTTCTATCTTCTTGAATCTCGTTCATCTTTTGTCCTTTCCTCAATCCTCCCTATACTCAGTCTTTCACTCTCACTTTCCTGTAACCCCCTGCGTATTAGTGGCATTCCTGCCTTGCCTGGGGTGAAATGATTAACATAATTCAAATACAGCGTCAATCGCCATCTTCTATCTTCTTGAATCTCGTTCATCGTTTGTCCTTTCCTCAATCCTCCCTATATTCAGTCTTTCACTCTCACTATCACTCACTGTAACCCTCCTGCGTATTAGTGGCATTCCCGCCTTGCCTGGGGTGAAATGATTAACATAATTTAAATACAGCGTCAATCGCCATCTTCTTCTTCTTGAATCTCGTTCATCTTTTGTCCTTTCCTACAGCTCAATCCTCCCTATACGTTCAGTCTTTTCAATCCTCCCTCTCACTTTCACTTTCCCTGTAACCCTCCTGCGTATTAGTGGCATTCCCGCCTTGCCTGGGGTGAAATGATTAACATAATTTAAATACAAGCGTCAATCGCCATCTTCTATCTTCTTGAATCTCGTTCATCTTTTGTCCTTTCCTCAATCCTCCCTATACTCAGTCTTTCCTCTCACTTTCACCCCTGTAACCCCCTGCGTATTAGTGGCATTCCCGCCTTGCTCTGGGGTGAAATGATTAACATAATTCAAATACAGCGTCAATCGCCATCTTCATCTTCTTGAATCTCGTTCATCGTTTGTCCTTTCCTCAATCCCTCGTTCAGTCTTTCACTCTTTGTCCTGTAACCCTCCTGCGTATTAGTGGCATTCCCTATGGGGTGAAATGATTAACATAATTCAAATACAGCGTCAATCGCCATCTTCATCTTTTGAATCTCGTTCATCTTTTGTAATCCCCTGCGTACTAGTGGCATTCCCCTGCGTATTAGTGGCATTCCTGTTTGGGGTGAAATGATTAACATAATTTAAATACAACGTCAATCGCCATCTTCTTTTTTCTTGAATCTCGTTCATCTTTTGTCCTTTCCTCAATCCTCCCTATACTCAGTCTTTTCTCTCACTTTCACTCCCTGTAATCCCCTGCGTACTAGTGGCATTCCCACCTTGCTTGGGGTGAAATGATTAACATAATTTAAATACAACGTCAATCGCCATCTTCTTTTTTCTTGAATCTCGTTCATCTTTTGTCCTTTCCTCAATCCTCCCTATATTTAAATACAGTCTTCGCCATCTTCTTTTCTTCACTTTCACTCCCTTTGTAATCCCCTGCGTACTAGTGGCATTGTAATCCCCTGCCTTTGAAGGATTAAATACAAAGATCACCATCTTCTTTCTTTTGCCCGGATCTTTTACGTTCCCCCGAGTCTTTTCTCTCGAGACAATACTTTTTTCATTTCCAGATTCTCCCGTTCGAGATTATGGTTTTCGGTTCCATGTCTGATTTTACAAGTATTTTTTCCTGATATTTTCATCTTTAGTAGAATGGTTTTTTTCTGAAATTTCATTTGGTAAAATGTTTTTTAACCGAAACATGGTTATAAAACCACCAAGGCACAATTAATGAGACAGAACTGGAATTTAGAAAACCCAAGATGACACTTGATATTGCATTTAAAGTCTGAGAATATCCTGTTAGCATAGAACTTACGGTTTCATATAGACTCTTTCACTGTAAAAGTGTAAACATTCTGATTACACTCTGTGTTAGAGGTTTCATTATTTTTATGAGAAAGACTAATAATAATCATTATGTTATTGAGAAAGACTAATATTAATCATTATTTTCATGAGAAAGACTAGTAATAATCATTATATTTAAGAGAAAGACTAATACTAATCATTATATTTATAAGAAAGACTAATAATAATCATATTTATAAGAAAGACTAATAATAATCATTATATTTAAGAGAAAGACTAATAATAATTATGTTTATGAGAAAGACTAATAATAATCATTATATTTATGAGAAAGACAAATAATAGAGATTACCTCCCTTGCATTAGTTACTTAATAACAATAAAAAATATTGAGTTATTCCCCTTGCATTAGACATGCTTTGAATTTCTTGTTTTTGTAACGCTTTATTGAAGCTTATATGGTATCTCTCCTAATCCCTGTTCGGCCAAGCCTTTACACAAACTCGTTCTCCTTCTTCTATGTGCCGTCTCTCTTCAGGAGGTGGGTGATCATGACTCTCCACAACTTCCTATCCTTTGTAGCTCTTATTAAAGTTTTGTCTTTTTGCTATCTCTCCTAATACCTGTTCGGCCAAACCTTTACACAAACTCGGTCTCCTTCTTCTATGTGCCGTCTCTCTTCAAGAGGTGTGTGATCATGACTCTCCACAACTTCCTATCCTTTGTAGCTCTTATTAAAGTTTTGTCTTTTTGCTATCTCTCCTAATCCCTGTTCGGCCAAGCCTTTACACAAACTCGGTCTCCTTCTTCTATGTGCCGTCTCTCTTCAGGAGCTGGATGATCATGACTCTCCACAACTTCCTGTCCTTTGTAGCCTTAGTAAAATTTTTAATTTTACACAATTTACAAGCTGGTTCTACTTCTATATGCCATCTCTCCCCAAGAGTTGGTTGATTATGACTTTCCACAACTTCCTGTTCTTTCTAGCTCTTAGAAATGTTTTTTTTTGTTGCTATCTCTTCTAATCCCTGTTCTGCTAACAGAAACCCGTTTTCCTTCTTCTATGTGCCGTCAGGAGGTGTGTGATCAAGACTCTCCACAACTTCCTATCCTTTGTAGCTCTTATTAAAGTTTTGTCTTTTTGTTATCTCTCCTAATCGCTGTTCTGCTAACCATTTGCACAAATTCGTTCTCCTTCATCTATGCGTCGTCTCTCTTCAGGTGGGTTATGACTCTCCACAATTTCCTGTCCTTTATAACCATAGTAAAGTTTGAGTTTTTACTATCTATATTATTCCCTGTTCTGCGTTTTTCTCCGTCTTTCCCTTTTTTTAAAAAATTATTCCACATAAATTAAGGCCATAAAGCCACTAAAACTCAGAGACTTACAGCGTCAGTGGGTTGATCTTTTTTTAGCGCCATATCAACTTTTCTATCGTTGTTTTAATACCGTAATTTGAACTCAAATTTATGGCTTTCACTAGATTCATGCTGAATGCCATTGTATGCCTTGAAATACATATAAAATGCTTTGTTCCTTCTTTTGAAAGGGTCAGGAAGTTCCTGGGAACAACAGCAATTAAGTTGTTACAAACTCATTGAAAATAGAGTAATTACTACTCAGTATTAATTGTTCTAATGAGGCAACCATGGTAGCTATTAAACCCCGGCGATATCATACGTTTTAATTAATTTATTCATAAAGAAAAAAACGGGGAGACGGATCTAAGCGTTATTTTCCATTGGGAACATAAAACCAATGAGTTTGTGCGTAAAAAAAGGATGAACCTCTTTTCGCCACTATCAAACGGAGAAAAATGGCGTGGTCGGAACAGGAAAGTTTTAGACCAGATAAAATCATAAAAATGGTATCAAAATGAAGTCAATTTATTTCTCATCAAAATGACATGGGCTGATTGATAAGTAAGGTCTTCAATCCTATAAAACGAGTTTTAGACCAGATAGAATAATGAAAGTGGTATCAAAATGAAGTCAATTGATTTCTTTTTAAAATGACATGGGCTGATTGATAAGTAAGGTCTCCAATCCTGTAAAACAAGTTTTAGACCAGATAGAATAATGAAACTGGTATTAAAATGAAGTCAATTGATTTCTCTTCAAAATGACATTGACTGATTGATAAGTAAGGTCTCCAATCTTATAAACCAAGTTTTAGACCAGATAGAATAATGAAACTGGTATTAAAATGAAGTCAATTGATTTCTCTTCAAAATGACATTGACTGATTGATAAGTAAGGTCTCCAATCTTATAAACCAAGTTTTAGACCAGATAGAATAATGAAACTGGTATTAAAATGAAGTCAATTGATTTCTCTTCAAAATGACATGGACTGATTGATAAGTAAGGTCTCCAATCCTATAAAACAAGTTTTAGACCAGATAGAATAATGAGACTGGTATCAAAATCAAGCCAATTTATTTCTCTTCAAAATGACATGGGCTGATTGATAAGTAAGATCACCAATCCTACAAGCCTGTGCAAGACCATCATGCAAGGCACCGTTGAAGGTGGACGTAGGAGAGGATGCAAACTGGTTGAACACTGTCAAACAATGGACAAGTATGACTAGATCAGAACTGGCGATGTCTGCCGTTGATAGATCGTTGTGTAGAAGATTCAATATGGCATTCGAATCACCTCCACTAAGATTACAAGTCAACAGATGATGATGATGATGATGATGATGATGATGATGATGATGATGAAAAACAGGAGATAAAATAAAAAATTAATAAGTCATATTTATTAACAACAAACAATAAAACAACATATAACTTTTATAAAAAAAAAAGGTTAAAATAAAACCGAGTTATTCCCCTTTAAAAATGGCGTCAACGTTTGAAAAAGGTTTGAATTAACAAAACACATAGAAATCTCTGAGTAACATGTCAATTAACTGATTGGCTGGTTTTTGACAAATCTCTTCTGAGAATTTGCATAGAGATTTTTATAACTGTCGGGTTGATTGACTATGTCCGACAATTGATTGTATGTTTGTATTCTATACAAATAATCACTGCTTGGCTGGCTGCTAAGGGAATGCAATAATTTTACATCCGGCCATTTGCCAGTTCCAATATCAATAATAAATACTTCGACATAATTCTTTTTCAATTTCTCCATCATCTTCGACAGTTTCATTGGGATGACACTAGAAGAAGAATCAACAAACAATACAGCAACTTGACGACCGCCGGAATTTTTAAAAGATTTCATTTCCCAATGCATATGACGCACAATATTGACAATGGGTGTAATGAAGTCTGGCGTTCTTTGGAGGGGTTGACGAGTTAGACTCAGGGGTGTATTCATATGTCCCGTGTACTTTCCGTCAGAGACGATACTGAAATAAGTGTAGCCAGAGCGTGCGATAAATTCGTAGATGAAGTCGTGAATGGCGCGTATTTGGTGCTGGCAAAGAGTTACGATGTCGAAACCAAATATAATTTTCGATGCTGAAAGAAAAAGAAAAGAATTCGTTTTAAAATGCCGAGGACGAAATTTACAAGAATCTACAGGCAACCGGCGGAAAATCCGCTCTATTTTTTGTATTATTTTATCGCTAGTCATTACTAAAAAAAGAAAAAAAAAAGCGAGAGAGATAGAGAGAGAGATAGAGAGAGAGAGAGTGACAAATGACAAGATTTGGCAAGGTTTTCTATTTTACTGAAGCAGACGTTAAATGCATGTGAACATTATCACTTCCTCTATCTTCTATCTTTTTTCTTTCTATGTATTCATTCTGCATTTTCTTTTCGTATTTATTTATTTCTGATCTTTCTTTCTTTCTTTCTTTTATTTCCGATCTTTCTTTCTTTCTTTCTTTTATTTCCGATCTTTCTTTCTTTTTCTTTCTTTCTTTCTTTTTTCTTTCTTTCTTTCTTTTATTTCTGCTCTTTCTTTCTTTCACATATATTCTGTCTTTCTTTCTTTCCTTTTCTCTTCTTTTTTCCTTTCTCGTCCTTTCTTTCTTTCTTTCTTTTATTTCTGATCTTTCTTTCTTTCTTTCTTTCTTTCTTTCTTTCTTTCTTTCTTTCGTCTTTCTTTCTTTCTTTTATTTCTGTTCTTTCTTTCGTTCATCCTTTCTGTCTTTCTTTCTTTCTTTTTCTTCTCTTCTTTCTCGTTCTTCCTTTCTCTTCTTTCCTTCTAATCTCGTCTTTCTTTCTATTTCCACCTTCACTTTCTTTTTTAATTCCCTTCTTTATCGTCCCCTCTTTTTTCTTTCTCATCTTCTTGAAGATAGAAAAAGAATTAAAACGAAAAAAAATCAAGGAAGGAAGAAAAGTCTAGGGTTAGCCATTTTCTTCCCCACATATCCCTATAAACTGTGCCCCCCTACTCTACCGACTCCCAAGAGGATGCTTTCCCGATTACTGCAATCTTAGCCTATTCAAGCCTAGGGTTAACCATTATCTTTCCTAAATATTCGCAGAAGCTGTGTCATTTAATCTGCAACCTCTACCTCGAGTGGCTCCCGGGTCTTGTTAAAGATGAACATCATTTTTTCACTGCTTATGTATTCTTTAATTGGTAATCATTGCTGTCTTGTTTCTACCGAGTAAAAATCACGAAACTTCGAGTCGACGTTTGACAAGTATAGTAAAACAATGTAAACTGCATACTCACTTTTATCGCCAGACGGTTCATCTGAAAATAAAATGAAATATTAAGATGAAGAAGGCATCAAAAATTAAATATAAAAGTATGAAATATGTGCATTGACTGACAAGATCTTTAAAACTATAAAGCATTTTTTAGAGCAGATAGAATAATGAAAGTGGTATCAAAATGAAGCCAGTTTATTTCTCTTCAAAATGACATGGGCTGATTGATAAGTAAGGTCTTCAATCCTATAAAACAAGTTTTAGACCAGATAGAGTAATGAAACTAAGTAAGGTTTCCAATCCTATAAACCAAGTTTTAGACCAGATTATGAATCCGCCTTTTCTCCCGCCAGCTATGGACCAATTAGTAAAACCCTTAAACCATTATTATCTATAAAATAAGACATTTCTTACATTCTAAAAATATTAGTGATATTTTTTCTTGTCTCCATAAAATTTTTCGTATATTGAAGATTTCAAGGCTCTTTCAACTAGTATTGTTCATCTAGTGAGAACTGATAAAAATAAAATATAAATATAAAATGTATAAAGAAAAATGAAATTAAATCAAATTAAAATAAGGCATTCTATATCTTTCTTTCTTGCTAAACCTCTCTCTGCTGTATACTTCTCTCTCAACTAACGAAAAGCAACCCTTAAATAAAACGAGGAAGAAGAAAAGACGAAAAACATCGGAAGTTTACGTGATCAGAGCCTACAAATGTGTGGCTGAAAACTAACCAAAATAAGACAGGCTCCACGTATGACTTCCGTCATAAAAAAATGAAAAAAAAACGGAACGCCGGAAAATAAAATAATTTGGGCCAATCAAAAAAATGGGCACAAAGAGACTTTTGATGTTAGCCGAAACCAAGGTTCGTGCCAGAGTCTCGGAGCCTGGTCAAAAGAATATAAGCTTACACCTCAGAGTTAGACAAGGGAAAAACGACAAGTGAAACTAAACACCAGAACGCAACCATAGTTAAGAGGTATTTTGTTAATCATAAGTAAAAAAAAATGTAGATTGACACTGAATTATTTCTACCACGACTTTTAAACTACCCCCTAGCGACCCGAAACGAGCATTTCTCCAGACTGCTAGCAATATCTGCCTTATAAACGAACATTTTGCTTCACCGAATACCAAAGCACTAACTCTAAATCAAATAAACAAAGATATATTATTTGATTATACACTGCAGTTTTATTCCAAAGATTCTGGTAAATAAACAGAAAGAATTCCCACTTTCCTACAAGAAACACTGTCAGTTTCCAGATCGAAATATATTATGATTTTGAAATTTTTTTTTTCGATAAGTGTAAATGAAGACAATATATCACTTACCTCGAATCGGTGTGTCTCCCTCTGTTTCTCCTCCATTGTCTGTGTCGGTGATATTTGGGCGTGGTGCTATATGTAAAAAATAAAGATTTTAAACTTATATTTGGTATATCTATTCAAGTTTGTGAGTGAAGACTAAACACGTGACATTAAAGACAACTATAATCTGCTATTAGAATCGATGTTAATGCCAATAAGAAATGTTAGCCCGAAGACAAATCCATATGTTTACTAGCAGCCATACCCAGCTGGTCGATCAGAAAAAGCGTTCAATTAGAATGGAGCAAAAACAGCATCATGTTTAGATGTAACAGAGCCTATCTTCTTCAATTACTTTAAAGTACTTTCATTAAAAAAAACTTTTTGAATTAATGCAGTTACTGTTATAACAGAAGTAGTCTGTATTTATTCAATCGAAGTTAGCCAAGGACATGAAGGGGTAAAACATGTAACATGAAGACCCACTTCAGACCACAATTATTTTGGAGTTTTTGAAATTCAGTCTGTCAGCGTGCTACCAGGGATGTAAAAGAGGATACATTTATAAAGCAATTGTTATGTTTGATGAAAATTGGTTGAATGATCAACGAAAAATATGAAAGAAACTAGTAAAAAATCGCCATTTTTCGTTATTTATGCGGGTTTTCACTATGTAGGTGGACTCAGTTATCAAGTTAATTGAGTGAAGTTTGTATTAGATTGCTTGAAAATTGAGGGAGCTTTTAGTTTAAGATTTATGTTGAATTCGATTTGTGTTGAAATCGATCTGTGTTGAAATTGATTTTTCGTTTTTCAAGTTTTTTTTTTTTTTTTTTGCTATTCGTAAATCTATTGTCGATTGTGCCATTTTTCTTGCTGCTGTTAAAAAAAATCAGAGACCCGAATCTACTGAGACCATCAGGCCTCATCAATGATAATTCTCTGGTTTGCCTTTATCATCTCTCGGGCTTGCTGAATCTCCTCCTCAATGGTGGAGGTTGAGGGTTGTCCTTCCCCTTCTTCGTGTGTCACACTTGTCCGGCCACTTTTAAGCCTCTCGATCCACTCACACACACTTCTACGCCGTAGTGCACTGTCTTCATATTGTGTTAAAAGCCATCGATGAACTTCATCCCCTGACACACTTCCTGAGCAGAGAAATCGAATCAGTGCTTTTTGTTCATCCTTGGTGCACACTGCTCATGGAGCGGTCTTGTTTAGATAGTAACAGCGCAAGAAAAATGTCACGATCAACTTCAACTTTCTATCACGGGACAACAATACTACCAACTACAGGCAAGCATGAGCAGAAGGCAATGTGACAAACCTAAAAATACACCCTTATGCAAATTATTTGAAACAACCACTTCAGTTTCCTTTCTTTCAATATACGGTCAGTTTTAGACTCATCTGAGTCACAGAGTGTAAGCAATTTCTATTTTTTCCTCAAATTCGGTTATTTGCAGTGGTGTGCAGTAATATGAATCTATTTTTGGGGCGTATGATGAAATTTGGCCTTGAAAAATATTGCGCCATCCGTGATTGCATCAGGTTTTCATCACGCCCAGACACTGTTGTCTCGACTGTCGATTAGTTGTCCTACGGCCATTGTCTGCGATGGGCGTTACTCCAAAGGGGCGTACGAAAATACACGCACGCTACACGAACACTCTGACAAGTCTTACCAGTGAGCAAATCAATGTACTGTAGATTAGCACGGAAACTCTCCTGATTTAAATCCAATCGAGAATTTATGATCAATCTGCAATGAACGACTTCTTGGAATGGACATACGAAGTACTAACATCTGCACTGGGTCATGCTTCATTAGAAAAATACGGAAAAAAAAGTAAATAATAACGGATTTATTTGTTTTCTTTCAATTAATTTGCACAAGGATATATATATATATATATATATATATATCACCCATAATAACATAATGGACTATTCCATACGTAATAAATACTGCGCCTCAAGAGGAAGCAGGGGTTTCAGTCCGAAGTCGGGCGACCGGCTGATCGGCTGATCGGTTGAACTCTCTGCCTTCGGGCGGGGAGGGGCCCGAACGAGGCTCCGCCGAAGGGCGGAGTCTCTTTCGGGCAGGTAAACCGATCCTGAACCCGTTTATACAGGTTCAAAGGGCATATTTTTGGCCACATGATGCCCTCTTCGGGAGGGGGGACTAAATACCGTTCAGTCTGGAGTGAAGTCCGTCAGAGGTCTGTCAGTCAGTCAGAGCGAGCGAGTCAGTCAGTCGAGTCAGAGGCAGCCCGAAACAGAGTCGCGTTCGGACAATTACTACTAAACCTGATTGTTCGTACTAACACTTTCTACTTCTCTGTATGTATATATATTCCTGTTTGTCATATATCTGTATTATTCCATATCCGTATTCGACTTCTTTTTTATTGGTTCTACCTTGGGCTATCACCGTGGTACAAGGAACAAGATCATAACACACACACACACACATATATATATATATATATATATATATATATATGTTATGCAGGAAGTGTTATCCTCGTACTAAGTAATTGACTATGGAGAGATTTGAATCCTGGTTTAATGGTTAGAATTTTTGGCCTTGAAAAATATTGCGTCGTCTGGGATTACATAAGATCTCTATCACGCCCAAACACTATTGTCTCGACTGTCGATTAGTTGTCCTACGGTCATTGTCTGTAATTCAGCAAATAAAAACATGGAAACGTGTTAGAAATACAGTAACGTATTTTTAGCAAATCTTTAAGAATCAAACAAAACACTTACGTAGACAAGTTATATTATAGAAGGTACTGAAGATCATGTCCAAGGCTTGATAGTTATCGGCTTCATATACCCCTGTGTCCGGGTTGGTAGCAATTTTTTTCATTTCCTCTTTTTTGTAACGTTTTCCGATACCAATGGCGTACATGGCAACTCCCATTTTGTGTAAAACCTTTGCTTGCTCGGCTGTTGCTTTTGGGTCAGTGGACCCCCCATCTGTGATCACAATACCGACAACAGGCGTTTCGGTATCAGGCCGACGCAAAGAGGTTACTTGTTCTTGGAGTAATTTTAAAGCTTTCGATGTGTACGTCTGGCCGAATCGATGAGGGATTCTCAAAATAGCATCGCGCAAATCGCCGACGTCTGTGTACTTGTCAGTAGCGAACTCCAAATGGGCAGTGTCACTAAATGTTATGGCGCCGATTCGAGTACGCAAGATATGCCCATCTGTGGTGACGTTGCCAATGAAATGATTGATACTCACGAGCATTTGTTTGAAATCCTTGCCATAAATGCTGCCTGACGAATCCAATATGAAAAAGATATCATCAGCGGTGCGTTCACAATCTGAAAAAGAAAGATAATCACAGACATATTATTCAAAATAAGTCGCAGAAGTTAATCATTTTAAAAAGCCAGGGTTCATAATCTTCACTGCCTTCTACAGTTGCTAAATAAACCTTGAGGAAAGAAAGAAAAAAGATTTTATTCTTCCTCAGTTTGGGCATTTGCAGCCTTAATTGTCTTTAAAAATTTAAATGCAATGTCTAGTGGTTTATTGTTTTGATCTTCAAAATTTTATGTCAATCATTATCTTCTGTTAAGTTTTCTTAATTGTCCTCTCTCCTTAATAGTTTTTTTTCTCATATTCTCGGTTTTTTGTGTCCTTGGTTTCAACCCTTTTGATTTCAAAAATCCTAGTCAATTTATTGCCTTTGATCTTCAAATTCTTGTTCTAAATTAAATCTCTCAATAGTATTTTCTCATATTCTAACACTCAAATGCGTCCTGGGTCATTTGTTTGCCTTTGGAAAAAAATTTAAATACAATGTCAATCGTTATCTTTTTGTCTTCTTAATTCTTGTTCTTTTATTGTCCTCTCCTTAATAGTAGTTTTTTCTCATATTCTCTAACACTCAGTAACCACTTCCGTCCTAGTGGCTTTATTGCCTTTGATCTTCAAAAATTTAAATACAATGTCAATCATTATCTTTTTGTCTTCTTAATTCTTTTGTTCTTTTTATTGTCCTCTCTCCTTAATAGTAGTTTTTCTCATATTTCTAACACTCAGTAACCACTTCCGTCCTAGTGGCTTTATTGCCTTTGATCTTCAAAAATTTAAATACAATGTCAATCATTATCTTCTGTCTTCTTAATTCTTGTTCTTTTATTGTCCTCTCTCCTTAATAGTAGTTTTTCTCATATTCTCTAACACTCAATAACCCCTTGCGTCCTAGTGGCTTTATTGCCTTTGATCTCAAAAAAATTTTTCGTTATCTTTTGTCTTCTTAATTCTTTTTTAAATCCTTAATGTAGTTTTTCCATATCGTTATCTATCTTCTTAAATTCTTGTTCTTTTATTGTCCTCTCTCCTTAATAGTAGTTTTTCTCATATTCTCTAACACTCAGTAACCGCTTGCGTCCTAGTGGCTTCATCTTCAAAAATTTAAATGCAATGTTAATCGTTATAATCTGTCTTCTTAATTCTTGTTCTTTTATTGTTCTCTCTCTTTAATAGAGATTCTTTTCATTATTAAACACTCATTAACCCCATGCATCATAGTGGCTTTGTTCCCTTGCTTGGAGTGAAATGATTAAAAATAATGTAAATTTATAAATCTACAATGCATTGAACATTTCTGCTACATCAGGTCCGGTGCTTGTTATCTATCCAGAGATTCTTGCTAAAATCCAAAGAAGAATCTGCAATTTTATTGGTCCTGACCTGGTCAAAGAAATCTCACCATTGATGGTAATGCCCATAAAGCAAATTTATATGTTTACTAGCAGCAATATCAAGTTGTCAATCAGAAAAAGCATTCAATTAGAATGGAGCAAAAACAGCATCATGTCTTCTTTAATTACTTTAAAATACATTTATATAAAAAAAAAAAACTGAATAAATGCAGTTACTGATATAACAGTCTATGTTTATTCAATCGAAGTTATCCGAGGATATGAAAGGGTAAAACTGTCAACATGAAGACCCACTTCAGATCACAATTATTTTGTAGATTTTGAAAGTTAATTTGTCAACCAGGGATGTAAAAGAGGATACATTTATAAAGCAATTGTTACGTTTGATGAAAATTGACACACTTCCCGACCAGAGAAATCGAATCAGTGTTTTTTTGTTCATCCTTGTTGCACACTGCTCATGAAGCGGTCATGTTTGTACCGTAACAGCAGGAAGAAAACTGTCGCGATTAACCTCAAATAGTTTACCTGTGCATTTTATAGTTCTGTTCTTTTTTCATGTTTTTTTTTTATTGTTCTCTTCCGCCAATAGATTTTTCTGTTTCTCATATTCTTCTAAAACTCAGTAATCCTGCTCCTTGCAACTTAATGTCTTGCTTGGGGGTGAAACGATTTTAAAAAAGAAAGTTTATTCATAAGTCTACTATTCGTCCATGCATTAAATATTGCTGCCACATCGGGTCTGGTGCTTCTGCTATATAAACCAAAGAAGCATTTGCAATGTTATCAGTACTAGCCTGGCATCTCGGCTCCTGTCAATTTTCTACCGCCGTAAAATTGATAAAAAGTTCTGCCAGTTTTTCCCTGTTGGAAGCACTGTTGGGAATTGCCTGAAAACTATATTGCTTTCAGACATTTCTAAAATATTCTGTTATACTAGGCAAGTCTCCTGTTCCTAGTCACAGAAATCTTAAAAAATGGAATTTAACTTCCCTGTGCATTATTATGCTTTTAGTTAGTTCTAGTCTTCTTTCTTGTTTTTTTTCTTATTATTATTTTCTTTTCTCATATTCTAACATTCACTAATGCTGTATCCTGCATCTTAGTGGCTTTATTGTCTTGCTTGGGGTGAAAATGATTTTAAAAAAAGAAATTATGGACATTTAGAATAACTCGCAGAAATGACTTCACTAGTTCTGCGATTGTTAAATAATACTTTAGCAGATTATTTTTCTGAGGAATTGTATCTCTGCTCCGACTTTCTGAGGTTGATCATGGGGCCAGATGCAAGCCATAATATGGAAAGCCGATTTTGATTGACTGAGCTAGCGTGGAAAGTAGATAGGAGAATGGTTTCAATGAGCGTCAAGCAATGCAGACATATTCTTTTTTGTGTCTGAAACGTCTCCCCAGCGAGGAGGGACGACTCCCCACTGGATAGTTAGTACATGTCGACATTAATAAAATAGTTAAGTTAAAATTCTCTGTGTTGAAGTTTTTTTTTATTGCCAAACCGAAACGATTGGCGATCGCCGGCTGATTGAAAAAGTCGAGCTGAGAACATTCACTGCTGTCAATATGCAATAAGATCACACACATATTCAGTAAGTCTCTACCATGAGTGGCTCTTGAGCCTTGCATTAAAAGGAAGCTTTAGTATAAAAATGACTTTAATTCCAACTTAGTAAAAGCGTAATAAATACTTCGTTGCTTAATAATAAATAACGGAATATTTTCTGTAATATTTGGCATTATTCTCGAAAAAAAGGTTAACTTTCAGACAAGATTTGAACTCATTTTCCTTGCTTTAATTACAGAGAAGGTAAAAACAAACCAATGCGCATACCTACGGCATATATATATATATATATATATATATATATATATATATATATATATATATATATATATATATATATAAAAAAAACAGATCACTTTAAAAGGTACCATTATAATAATTTATTTCACCAGAGCCCTTTTAAAGGACACCGGATCATCAGATAGCACTTCCAAAAATGAATTGAAACGAAAAATGAAATTAAAATTGATGGATAGTGTAAGTTTTTGTAATTTAACAGAGAGTGTAAAAGGAGTAGTTAAAAAGAATTGGTAGAGTATAGGGAGGGATTAATTTCATATCTCTCTCAAGCATACTTTGTATTGGGGGAGGAGGAGTAATCTGACCTTGATCTATTTAGACGGTTAACTTAACGGAAGTGATATATTGAAACGGGAGGGGAGAAGGGAGAAAAGGAAAAAGAAAGAAGAGGGAGAGGGGAGTAAAGAGAAAGAGGTTGTAATTGGGTTTTAGCAATTTATGTAAAGAATAGCTTTTAATGCTTGATAGTAATTTAGATGGCTAAAAAACCGAATAAATTAATTTGATGTTTGCTATCAATTTAAATATTTAATTTTTTTAAACGAATAGTTTAGGGATTTAATATAAGTTAAATACTATTTTTATTAACACATTTATAAAGAACATATTAAAAAAATATTTTAAAGTGTAACAGTTTGTTTACCCGACCAATCGTACTTTTTTAATATTGTAAAAAATAGTTACGGTAACATCTTATATATATATATATATATATATATATATATATATATATATATATATATATATAAACTTTATTTCAATCCTTCATGAGCTTCCAATGCTTAGCTATGATTATTTAATGATGAACATATTATTTTCGTTTATGATCGATTCTTCTGTTAAGCTTGGAGAGTAAATATACATTCTTATTGCTAACAGCCAAAAGCGTAATAAAAACTTAAGAGGATTCCAATAAAATATCTTTAATCATTTCTAAGATACAACGGTTCAAATCTTAATCTAACAATTGAACAATTTTGTGTTTAACGATTTGGACAAATTTTGCTGTTACACCGATATATATATATATATATATATATATATATATATATATATATATATATATATATATATATATATATATATATATATATATATATATATATATATATATATATATATATACATTATTTATATATTTATATGCGTGGTACCTATTAGAAAGCGCTCAATATCAGAGATAGAGCTAACATATTTGGTTGGATAGATGTGAGTTTGTGACCTGGGGTTTCACGCTTTTGCGATCGTCAGACAAACTGATTAATTTTTTAAATTTTGGATTTATGTAGGTTGCATGCATTATGTTATATATATATATATATATATATATATATATATATATATATATATATATATGTGTGTGTGTGTGTGTATTTAGGCAGCAATCTTTCTTTCATGCACATTTCATTGAATACGACAGACAAAAGGTGTTTTTGATTTAGTTTTTTTATACAATTTATCATGTGATATAATAATTTTTTTTCTTTTACAGATGATAAATTATATGAAAACGAAAAAGAACATTCTGGCACTTTTTATATAATTTATCATCTGAAAAGAAAAAAATATTAGATCACATGAGAAATTTGATAAAAACTAAATAAAAGCACCTTGCCAATTATAATCAATAAAATTTGCATATATATATATCTATATATATATGAAGAAATATAGTCTTAAGATGTGCTATATTTATGGGATAAAGTGATCAATATTAGAGATAGAGCCTTGTGTAAATATAAAAGTGAACAGTGAAATCAACATTCAAAGGCGACAGTCTGTTTCATGTTCGATGTTGTTCAATATTGTTTATTATAAACAGCATTTACTTAAATATTTGTATATATAAAAAGAATGATTAAACAAATATATCTTAAAATAATTATCGGACTTTGTCCATTTCATAATATATATATATATATATATATATATATATATATATATATATATATATATATATATATGTGTGTGTGTGTGTGTGTGTGTATGTATTTTCTATTTATATATCTTTAATAATTTATTTACATAAATGTTCTGTTTTTAATTGAACATTATTTATTACATTTTCCTGCCTAAATGTTCGAGAAATTTCGGAGAAAATATGCGTTCTCCGACAGGAATCGAACCTATATTCCTATACGGAAACCGTCATTTGATCTGACGTGCTGCACTATTCAGCTACAGAGAGGCGTGTGGTTAGCAAAGCCCGAATGACTGTTTATAAACACGCAATCTTCGACGATTTTTTCACGATCAATTATATCTGCTCACGAAACGTATCTTAACGTAAACAATGACAGCGTATTATGAAATGGATTAAGTCCGACAATTATTTAATATATTTTCTGTTTATACTTTATTTTTATAGATATAATTTATAAGTAAACACTCTGTTTTTTTTTTTAAATTAAACAATATTAATTACATTTATTGGCCTGAAAGTTCGAGAAACTTCGTAGAAAATATGCGGTCTTCGACAGGAATCGAACCTAAAACCCTTATTGGAACCGTCATATCTGACGTGCTGTTACCATTCAGCGACAAAGAAGCGTCTAGTTAAGTCCGAATTTCTCTTTATAAGCACACGCCTTCGATGATTTTTCTCGATCGATCATATCTGCTCACGAAACGTATCTTAACGTAAACATTGACAACATATTATGAAATGGATAAAGTCCGACAATTATTTAATATATTTTCTGTTTACACGAGTGGATGATATTCTGACAAGGGTGAAAAAAAGTGCATTGGAAAAAAATAGTTGATGACCAAATTTGTAGGGAAACATTTATCGTTGGAAATTGGAAGCAATTTTTTCTGGTTTAATATAACTAATCTATAAAAATGGATTTTAAGTTTTGTTTACCTTTGCATTTAGTTCATAAACATAATGAAATATTCTAGGATTCTCTATTAAATAATATAATAAACTCATATAATTCTTACCGTGTACTGGGCGCCCAGAGGCAGTGATCTGCAAAAGAATAGAATATACAATATTTAATTGTTTGCTTCTTTGTTTTATAACAAGAGAGGACTAGGGAAGAAAGGTTTTCATTTCCCCCATTATGAGCATTATTATGTCCGTCATATAATAACCCCATACCTCACGGAATGGCTGAAACGAAAAGGAACGACAAAATGCTTTGTTCTCAGAGAAAGGCATACACAAGACTATTTGTACATATATACACGTGCCCCACGTGGAGAATAATATAACGCATTTATCTACAAGGCAAAACAAGAAACAAAAAGAAGTCTCTTACATATAATATGGAGAAACTCTTGTGTCTGGAAAAGCAATGTTTAACACTCCAGATTTAAACAGGCCGGATTCATCTGTGTCCCAGGCGAAGACATATTTCAGTAATGGAAAGCAGCCCGTCTTCCGTTTTTTTCAAAAGCGAGCTGGAGTTTCATTCTATATCTAGGAAAGATATATTCCTAAACGGAAAAGACACCATATACTTGTAAGCTTCTGGGGAGGCAGATTTAGCATCTGCCCGGGCCAGTGTTGGGGTGTTAAGAAAGCAACCTTTATGTTTGGCTGCTGTAAAATGAACTGAATTTGATTGCTCCAGGTGTCACTGTATCGAATGGTGCCATAAAGCGGCAGTCATGTGACCCACATGAGTTATCTCCACCAAAGGAAGATAATCGCCATTTGTATCCATACAATTTTAAATTACACATGACAATACAGCAAGCATGTAACAAAATAACCAATTACTAATTTTAACAAGTATTTCTTTCATCTGATTTCTCTTCCTTTTCCACCAACTAGAAATAGTCTTAAGTTGTCTGAATTTCTGAGTGAAGTCTTGGCAATTATTATTCATTTTTGACTAGTATTTCTTTCATCTTATTTCTCTTGCTTTTCCACCAAGATGTCTGAATTTCTTAGATGAAGTCTTGGCAATTATTATTCATTTTTCACTAGTATTTCTTTCATCTTATTTCTCTTGCTTTCCCACCAACTAGTAATAGTCTTAAGTTGTGTGAATTTCTTAGATGAAGTCTTGGCAATTATTATTTATTTTTCACTAGTATTTCTTTCATCTTATTTCTCTTGCTTTCCCACCAACTAGTAATAGTCATAAGTTGTCTGACTTTCTTAGATGAAGACTTGTCAATTACACTGGTCAACACGATTTTTGGTGCTAAGGAACAAAACACTTTTGAGTTAATTTGTTGGTACTGATTCCGAAAAAATCGGTTGAAAAAATGTAGGAAATCCGATCCAATATATAAACGCACACACACACACACACACACACACACACACACACACACACACACACACACACACACACACACAATCTGCGTTTTATAATAAGTAAGATTTCTTGCTGGTATCCATTTGTTGAAAGCAATTAACTTGGTGCAGTTTTTTTTTAAGAGTAACGTAAAATAAATTGTGTTTTATTTAAAACTAGCTTAAAAGCCACACACTGTGCAGACTTTTAAGCTAGCTCCTGTGGAAGGCTAATCGGGCCTTTAACCTAAAATTAAAGGGATTTCTGGTCCAACTTAAAAAACGGTAATCATAATTTTGAAGAAGTAACTTTGAATACCTCAATTCACTCTGTGGAACTTCAAATCCTTACTTTAACTCTAATTTGGGCTATAAATATTTTTCCAGCAAAAAGACTGATTTGGGCAGGAACTCCAATTTGAGTCGATATTTCATTTCAGGCCAAAAACTGGGTTCTTCAAATTGCAAGCTCCATGGAACTTCAACTGAGTTGAGTTCTCCAAATCACAAGCCGAACTTCAAAACCTCATGTCATGCCCACTTTATCTTTGATTCCTTGGCATTTTGAAGAAATAAAATTGATTTCCTTGATTCACAAAGTTATTTTAAACTAAATTTAAAGCAAAATCTTTTAAATTCACAAAGTTTTTGTGTTACTTTGAACTTAATATAAATTAAAAAAATTTTAAATCACTAATTTTTTTCAGCTATTTTAAAATTTGAATTTCTAATTGTTCCCTCGTCATCCGAACACAACTCTCAATGCTAGATGTTCAAGCACCAGATGAAAGGTAGATTTTCAATCCTGGGATCATCCTGATTCCAAAAAGATATATGTCTATGTAGGGCATGTGTGGTTAGAGTTAGAAGGGTTTTAGATACATGGACACACAGACAGAATTTGCCATTTATTTATTTAGAAGATATTGGTATATGAGCTTAAAAAACACACTTCGTACACACACTTTAAAACTAGAGGAGGGGGTGGTTAATAAGGCTTCTGGCACAAATCTAAAGGGACATCTAGTCCAGATTAGAAACCAGTAATGATAATTTTGAAGAAATATTTTTGAATTCCTCAATTCAATCCATGGAACTTCAAAACTTCATTTTAACTCTGATTCGGGCTACATCAAATTCTGGCCACAAGACCAATTTGGGCTGAAATTCCAGTTCAGGCTGAAAGTTGAGTTCTTCAAATCTCAAACTCTGTGGAATTTCAACTGAGTTGAGTTTGAACAAACTCTACAGAACTTCAAAACTTAATGTCATGAAACGTCTCACTTCCTTGGCACTTTGAAGAATTAAAATTAATTTCCTCAATTTACAAAGTTTGGGAGATATTTTAAACTGAATTTAAAACAAAAAAATTTAAATTCACAAAGTTTTGTGTTACTTTAAACTCAATGTAAATTGTTAATTCAATATTCATCCGCAACCCCCTCTCAAAAAAAAAAAAACTTATTCTTAAAATCCCAAAATGTGTTTCAGTCTTAAATAACGAATAAAGGGTTGATAAGCCATAAAAATAAAATCAAACTTTCTTTTTTTTATGTGATATATTCTTTAAGGATATTAGCAACGGGTTCTCTACATCTTCCTGGCTTTTACATTTTACCATCCCTTTTTGTCCTTATTCTACTAATTATTCATACAAATTGATTAAATAGGTTACTTGCTGTTTCCTTCCTGCCTTCTTTTGACATCAGTATATACTGTGAGTTTTAAAACTTTCTTGTTGCTCAAATGTTCTGTCTATTGTATTCTTAACATTTATTGGTATATGAGCTTAAAAAACACACTTCGTACACACACTTTAAAACTAGAGGAGGGGGTGGTTAATAAGGCCTCTGGCACAAATCTAAAGGGACATCTAGTCCAGATTAGAAACCATTAATGATAATTTTGAAGAAATATTTTTGAATTCCTCAATCCAATCCATAGAACAGCAAAACTTCATTTTAACTCTGATTCGGGCTACAAATCAAATTCCGGCCACAAGACCAATTTGGGCAGAAAATTGAAGTCTTCAAAGCGCAAACTCTGTGGAATTTCAACTGAGTTGAATTTGATCAAACTCAACAGAACTTCAAAATTTCATGTCATGAAACCTCTCACTTACTCTGATTCCTTGGCACTTTGAAGAAATAAAATTGATATGCTCAGTTTTCTGAGGAGAACTAGAATTAAACTAAAGAAAATAGGGACAGAAATAAAAGGGGCCAATGAGCATAAAACTCCTAGCTAAGTTTACTTCAATCAAGAAACTAAAGACAAACGGGGACGTAAGCTATTTTAAATTCGGGCAAACCCTCTTAAAAAAAAGACCATCCGAACAATTACCATGACATTATTTATAAAAAAGACACAGAGAATCAATTTTACGGCTGTGGGAAAGTGACTAGAGCCGAGTTTGCAAATTCTGTAACGAACAGAGGTTGAGTGAAACAATTTTATCATCTTTATAAACTCGTTTAAATTTACAAGAACAAAGAAATAAATTAAAAAAAAAAAACTTACCGAAAGAACAACACAAATAAGTGAAATAGCAAAAGTCGTCTGCATCTTTGAATTGGTTTCTTAATATGTGAGGCGCTTTTCTCAGCTCTTGGGAGACAGTGATACAGATGCCAAAAAACATGTGCCTTTTATATCCTCTATGCGCGAATAAAATGCGGATGTTCTCAAATCTCTTGCACGAATGACGATATTATCTCAATGGACGATGTCCGGTGTCACAATGCATCACAGATGTGAAAAATCCGTGTAGAAATCGGAAAAAGAGGTAGGGAAATACAAAGCAGAACCGTCATATAGCCTAGAGAATTGTAATTTAAGAACAGTAAAATCGACCTTCATAGGCGAAACGCTACTCTGTGGCGAAATCGGTAAAAACACGTCAGGCTATATGACGGTTCCATATGGGATACAGGTTCGATTCGTGTCGGAGGACGCATATTTTCTATGAGAATTTCTCGGACATTCAGGCCGGTAAATGTTGTTAATACTGTTTATTATAAACAGAGCATTTACTTAAATATTTGTATCTATAAAAAAAAATGTATAAACATAAAAATGTCTTTATATATATATATATATATATATATTAAGCAATTCACCCAAGCAAGGCAGAAGAGGTTACAGTGAGTGAAAGTAGGAGAAAAGGGGGTGTTTTGAGCAAAGAATAAAGAGAAGGACGGGGATCAAAACATCAGAAGATTGTTGATTGGCATTACATTTAATTTTTTGAAGATTATAGACATCAGGAAAGCAAGGAAGAGGAGAGGAGTTACACTGTCGGGAAGTGCAAGAGAAGAAAATGTTGGAGTAGAAGAGGCGATTACATTTAACTGTTTCGACAGTGAAAGGGTGGGACCGAGATGTCAACCTAGTAGCATGCAGTTTTGGAACCAGTGAAAGTAGCTTGTCAGAGCAGTTGCCATTTGTAGAAAAGGCAGAGGGAAGCCACATCACGTCTGTGAGAAAGTGACTGTAGACGAGATGACAGATCAGGACCTATCACATTGCATATCCGTCTCTGGATTTTGTCGAGGACCCCTACATGAACAGCGGGGGCATTAGACCATATATGGCAGCAGTTTTCAGTGCAAGGACGATTGATAGATTTGTAGATGTGAGGATGGACTCAGACGAGAAAAACCTTCCGGCGCTACACAGAGAACCAACATGCATTATTATTATTATTATTATTATTATTATTATTATCCCATGACTTGATGAAAGGATCATTTATTTTGAAAAACAAATATTTAATTTTCAACATAATCTCCTTCCTTGTCAATGCCCTTAATTCAGTAGTGAATATTAATCACATACGTAGATACACCAATAAGAATTTATTTTACGCAAATATTTACTAAAATTTGTTTTAATAGTTAAATTTGGCTGGTGCGTGGTGTGATGATCGCTATGAGCACAAGTTTCGTCAAGTGACAAGTTAATCTACGAGAGAGTGTTAAGCATGTGTGGCCAATGTAAGAAGTAAATGTAAATTCGTATTGGAGATAGAATTCCTCAAAGGACATGAGAAATAACAATTTTCATAAAAAAACATTATTTTCGCGACAAGATAAATAACTACTCATCATTATGATAAAATAAAAAAACAATTAAATTGAAGAAAGCCTGTTAATCTCACTGTTTTTTAAACAATATTTTATCACCTTATCCAGCCTGTGCAATCGGGAATAAAATATTGTTTAAAAAGAAAACATAAGTTTCCACAACAAATAACGTTTAAGGTAGTAGTAGTAGTAGTAGTAATAATAATAATAATAATAATAATATATATGAGTATGTGTGTGTGTGTGTATTTAGTCAGAAAATTCTTTTATAGAAGAGTCTGATTGAATAGTATCTGTAATTTATTCACTCAGACATATATATATATATATATATATATATATATATATATATATGTGTGTGTGTGTGTGTGTGTGTGTGTATGCGTGTGTGTGTGTTTCTGAGTGAATATATATATATATATATATATATAATTATTTTTATGCTCTACTTTTGTATCGAGCACTATTTTAAAAAATAATAACTAAAATACTAAGGAACTTTTGGATTATTTACCTAACCAGTTCTTTCCTATTTTCTATATTTTCACACACACACACACACACACACACACACACACACACACACACACATATATATATATATATATATATATATAGTTGTGTATTTAGGAAGCAAATTCCCTTTTTAGAAGAGTCTGATTTAATAGTGTCTGTAATTTATTCACAGAGACATATATATATATATATATATATATATATATATGTCTGAATATATATATATATATATATATATATATATATATATAGGCAGCAAATTCTCTTATAGAAGAGTCTGATTGAATAGAGTCTGTAATTTATATATTAGACATATATATATATATATATCTGAGTGAATATATATATATATATATATATATATATACATATATATATATATTCACTCAGATATATATATATATATGTGTTGTGTGTGTGTGTGTGTGTGTGTGTGTGTGTGTGTGAATAAATTACAGACTCTATTCGATTAGACTCTTCTATAATAGAATTTGCTGCCTAGTCTGATGATCCAGAACCCTGTAAAATGGGTTATGGTGAAATAGCTTATTACATGGAATCTTAACGTGGTCTGTCTTTTATTCAAATATATATATATATATATATATATATATATATATATATAGTTGTGTATTTAGGCAGCAAATTCTTTTAGAAGGCTCTGATTGAATAATGTCTAAAATTAGGAATTTATTCAATCAGACACATATATATATATATATATATATATATATATATATATATATATATATATTGTGTAATTAGGCAACAATCCCTCATTTATGCATGTTTCATTAAAGACGATAGACAAGGTACTGTGATTAAGTTCTTTTATTTAATTTTTCTTGTGTTATGTTTAATCGATAATACACCGCTCATTCATATATTCCGTGGTGAAACTCATCCAAATTTGAAACGGCCGTCCAGTGCCTTCTGCATTCTGTTGAGTTTTTTTTTCTAGACTCGATGAATTACTTAATTATAATTATCTCAAATCCTCCTAATAATTTCTATCACTTGTATATCCTTGCTTGAACTGGCTTCTAATTCTCTTGATACGTATTTAAATCCAATCTAAGCTTTCGGCTTACATAAGCCATTATCAAAAATGACATTTACTTTTCAATATATCAACCAATACACGGGCGAAACAATAATGTCTGTTTTTGTTGCATGAAAAATTTCAAAGCAACGACTAACTCGTGTATACGAGACGCTGAAGCGAAAATCGCGTCGTAGCTCGTGACGTCACACATGACCACGCGTGAGTGAAAACGAGAAGTATTAAGTATGGGAAGCCGTTGGTATAAACCAGTGGCTTCTTTTATCAATTATAGGCATTTAAGAATATTTGTGGATTTAAACATGTATCAATATGGTGATTTCCTTTCGTCTTTCAATGATAATGTTAATAAACTTATCAGACAATATGAAAGGAACTTACTTAAAAGAAATAGACAAAACTTGTCTATATTATTTAATAAAACATACATTAATATATATATATATATATATATATATATATATATATATATATATATATATATATATATATATATATATATATATATAGAGAGAGAGAGAGAGACATACACATATCAGTCAGTTATGTGACATGCGTGATACACGCTTAGGTGATCATGTTTCTTTCCATACATGACTGACGGGGCAGAGTTTTTTCCAGCAGTAGGTTGCCATTTCTTTATGCGGAAGACCAGTTGCCATCCAAGGAAGGCTATAGAACCCGGTCCGTCCTGCTATTTGCCCATAGCTTGGGTGGGAAGAAGAGGATTCATACGAAGGGTATTACCACATAGGTGAATGTAATGGATTCGAGTGGAATTCGAACTCGGCTCCTCAATCGGAGCCGCTGTCCATTACTCCAGCGTGTATATATATATATATATATATATATATATATATATATATATATTGTTTCAAGTTATGCTATATTTATGAGTGAAAGTGCTCTTTTCATTTTTAAACAATCCTTTTCATATTTAAATGCAATCATCATGGCCTAACGACTGCGTTTAAGCATGAAACAGCCTGTCGCCTCTGAGCGTTGACCTCAATATCCACTTTTATATTCACATACGCTCTATCCCTGATATCGAGTACTTTAACTCATAAATATATCATACCTTAAAACTGTAATATATATATATATATATATATATATATATATATGTATAATTATTTATTTAAAAATATGATTCCAACACGCTACATAAGAGTTCTCATGTTTCAAAACAAGAGCCGAAAACTTCAATATAATTATTTGAATTAAATTGAATTAAAGTACTAAGATCTGTTCCATCCTCAAGCTAAATTTTTTTGGAATAACTTATTTCTGAAATTTACGTGTTTTAATAGCATATTCATTATTGAAATCAAAATTTCTATGGTAACGGCTAGAGCAATTGTTTAAATAAAAAGGGGTGTAAGGTGTTAATAATTTATATCAGTATGAAGTTACATTCATAGATGTCAAGTCAGGGTAAGGTTGGGGTGTCTAAATTTAAAACGGAACATGATTTCGTCTAGTCTGGTTTACGTGTCTATGGAGATTTATTTTTTATTTTTTTTCTGAAAGGGTTTTGTGTATATAAAAACTGCCGTAACATTTGTTTTTGACGACTTCATAAAGGGTTATCTTTTTTTGTAGGGTATTTAAACTATTTATTAGGGCTATGGATTATAAAAATTATTTTATTGTATGTTTGTTTTTAAGCTAATTATTCAATGCAAAAATTTGATGATGTCGGCAAAAAACCGTTAACTCTTGTCTATTGCTTAATAGATTTTTATTATCTAGAAATTTAATAATGTGTAGTTTTTCATGTTGGCATAAAAGGGCATGGGTCATCCCAAGTTTTACATGTTCTAGTTTTGTTTATAATTTTCCATTTTACTTTTGGTGTTTTATTCATTTCCTTCAAATGCCAAAAATATTTAGATAGA